GCGTCTGGGGTCCCCCCCCCCCCCCCATGTTGAACGACTGAAGAAACACTTCAGTCAAAATGAAACAAAGTCAAAACCAGATTGATGTTGACCTTTAACAGCTGCTGATGTGCCTGTACTATTTTATAACAGGGGACTCTCCAAGTCATTTGTTGTCACCGAGTCATTAAGTGACAATATTTGTCATGAAGAAAACTGATCTTTGTGCCCCACGAGTCAACTTTAACCCACAAATCCATATCAGAGGCAGATTACTGCCAAACCTCGGCACAGAGGCAGTGTACTTACTGAGATAATCTTTCCACTGGGAGGCTTGACCTTATCCTCCACTCTTCCATCTTTTTTTTCTTCATGGATGCAGTGATAGCCTCCGGCCGACAGCAGAATAACCATTTTCCTGCTCCTAATCTTTAGTGAAATGCAGGCGATCCTTCACACGGACACTCAACACAAAACAGATGTGAGTCTTTTCTGTGGAATCAGTGGTGAACGTTGCAAACAGAAGAGAGGGTCAGTGGTAATTGAAAGTGTTCATCCCACTCACCACTCTTAGTCATCCACTGACCAAGAAGCTGAGCATTTGAAATGTGCAAGTCATGCTGTTGTATCACTGAAATACTCAGGACCAGAGGTGGCCCTTTGTCACAGTCTGCTCCTTTATTCATCCATCCATCCATCCATTATCTTTACCCGTTTATTCCATTTTGGGTCACGGGGGTCGCTAGTGCCCATGTCCAGCAATCACTGTGCGAGGGGCGGGGTACACCCTGGGCGGGTCGCAAGTCCATCACAGGGCCACATAGAGACAAACGAGACAAACAACCATTCACTCTCTCACTCACACCTAGGGACAATTTAGAGTTACCAATCAGCCTAACATGCATGTTTTTGGTCTGTGGGAGGAAACCGGAGTACCCGGAGAAAACCCACGCATGCACGGAGAGAACATGCAAACTCCACCCAGGAAGGCCCCTGGACCGGGGTTTGAACCAGGGACCTGTTCGCTGAGAGGCAGCAGCTCTACCAGTTGCGCCACCGTGCTGCCTTTGGTTTATAAATATGAGAAAAAATAAATAAAAAATAAATACGTTGCTTCGGTATTTTTGATTCTTAATGTTTTAACTCTTGTACCAATTTTGACGTTAAAATTTCAGTTTGTACATTTTCTGGAAATCGTCTTAAGACCAAAATTTTATATTTTGTGTCCCATAAACGTGTCCCAAACCATCATTGGAAATCCCTGTTTTATTGCATCATACAAAACCAAAACCTGAAAATAAGCTGAAGCAGGGCAAAATTTCGTTAAATAATCTTGATGAAAGTTTTATTAAAATCTGTTTGCTGGCTTTTTAACAGTTCACAAAAAAAAAAAAAAAACTATCCATTTTTTTTTACTAATAGGAGTCTTTGTTACTTTGTAACACATTAAATAATAATCTTTAAATTACTCTAAACGTTGCATTTTTAACTAATATGTTATGTATTAGTCAAGCCGCACAAGGGGTAGGTCACAAACATCATGTTTAATAGCTATGAAAATGTTACTGTTTCAACCTAGCACAATGGTACAAGATTGTCAACACTGGACAAAAAGATATGAGCAAATGTTGGGTACGTGATGCAACACAAACAAAACAGAGCAAGCTTGTCACTCTGACTGTTTGCAGATGATATGATGCTATATTTGACAGATCCAGATGGCACACTCCAACTCCAATTATGGCCTTTTCATCCTTTTAAGACCTCACTGTGCTGCAACTACTGATGACCAAACAGAAACACCAATCTGTGAGGGAAAGAGTCCTAAGTGTTTTGAAACCTTCTCAGTTTTGGATGTACACCCCAGAGTTTCATGTCACTGGAATGAATGTCCTTAAAAATATGTGAAACAAATTTTAACTGACAGTAGTTGCAAAGTTGTTGCAGTGTCAGGAACCCTTCTCAGTCCTTTCTCAATGTTGTGTGTGTCAAGTGTGCCAGAGCCACAAGTTTTTGTTGGCACGTGTCCAAATATCTGGTACATTTTGATCAAAATTTCTGAAGGAGACTGTGTAACTGTGCTGTTCATTGTGACTCTAAGAGAAAATTTGTATTTTCATTTAATTTTGTCTTCGACTAATTATGAACAGTTACAGTCCAGTGAGATTCTACCTTAACTAAGCAAAAATGGCCCCCTGAAAATAAATAAATAAATAAAAGTGTTTCAGAGCAACATTTACAGTACTAAGAGTTTAAATGCTGTCAACCTGGAGCCATAATAAATCAAGCGTGCACAAAGGTTTCAATAAGAACTGTTTATTTATTTTGAAAAGACTCCAGCGTGAAGCAGAAAGGAGTACTTCCTGCCGTATCAAAACTTCAGTATTTTTCAGGATGCTTAACCATTTGTGATGTGACATTTCTTTGTACCTGAAAGACCAGATAAACTCCATAAAACAAGGATGCTTTAATTCAATTCTGACTTGATATCTGCTCAGCCAAAGTCATATTAACATTTGTCAACATGCAGATATCAGTAGGCACCCCCCCCCCACACACACACACACACCACCACCACCACCACCACCACACCCCCACATCCATGCCCACAAGGTAAAGCCTTTAGAAAAAAAAAAGTAAAAAAAAGATGTCAAATATTTTGACATGGAGCTACCAGTGGCGGCTGGTGGAATTTCCACCAGGGGTGTGTGTGTGTGCGTGTGTGCATGTGTGTGTTTGTGCTATAACTCATTCCTTACCTGTGTAAACACAGTAAATAAGGCACATTAATGATGACTGCTGTTAGAATTTTCCACTTCGCCTCCAGACCAGTCCTCTCTCCTTTTTATATAGGACCCCAGTCGGCATAAACAAACCCAGCGCCGAATGCAGTGGGTCTCCCATCTGCCTGATCAAAATTAATGTTGTGCCTCTTTTAAATGCGCTGCTGTCTGACAACTAAATAATATTTAAAAAATAGCCTGGTTGTGAGTGTCACTGTACGATCTGCTCCGGGTTAGGGTACCAAAAATAAATAAATAAATCTGTACCGGGACGGCGGGACCGGAAGCACGATCCATACAGTGCGCCAGTACTCAGGGCGCTGGAGTGGTGCGCCCAGAATCTTCCGATCTCTTGTAACTAAAATGAGCTAACTGTGCATGTACAACTTTTAACAAGAGTCTATGGGCAAAGATTCTTGCACCCCCAGGGCAGAAATACATCACCAATGAGACGTTTTTGAAAGAAACAACATAACTCATCATTAACTATAAAATGTTTATCTTACACAACTAAAAAAATATTTACATGGATTTCAAAATATTTTTATTTTCTTATTTCATTTGTATTTACATTTCTTAAGTCTTCAATGTAATATGGTGAGTGGTGTGAGTGGTGGGGCGGCTGCTCTAGTGCCCCCTATTGAGCAGCCCCCTCTGGTAGCTACTATCCCTTTTTCCAAGGAAATGTGCTATTAAATTCTTTAAAACATACTGTATATATTTCAGTTTAATAAAGGAGATCGTGTACCTTCAGAATAATTATAAAAAACATCTAAAGTTGATTTTGTGTTCAGGTCTTCTAGAGGTTGACAAAACTCTTTATTTCATCCTTCACTAACGGCCCTGAGGTCAATAATTACACGTACTTGTTACATTGTAGCGAGATTCTGTGCAAGTTGAAGCCTGCGTGGAGTGCGTGCAGTAGTTCAGTGTCAGTGGTTTGAAGTAATGAAGCTCGGGTTTGGTACATGTTGATCTAACTCATTTGGCCTTTATTTGATGGCCAAACAAAAACAAATTGCTGACAATCCTCAACTCAATTTATTTATGGTCAAACAAGCAAAATTCTGTTTAGTCAATTAAACCTGTGCATTTTTTCCCTCCTGATGTTACTGGTTGGTTTATTTTCCATCATGGATTATTGGAGGAGCAGAGGGTTTACTGATGAATCTGGTTGAACAACTTCAGACGGTGTGATAATTGCTTTGGTTCAGGTTTAGTGAAGTCAGACGGTCAGTGTGCTGCGCTTGTTGTTCCAAGTGTGTGTGAGGCATCAAAAGGTACATGTGACTGAATACAAAGGGATGCCACAGTGGTAAACACTGCAGGCAGTAAACTAGAGCTGAGTTTGGTTAAGAGACACTCTTCCTTCTGATCTTTAATCTTGTTTCGTTGCACTTTGCAGCTGCCATTTTACAATGAAGTTACCAGAGCTCATCAATGTTTCTGCCTGCATCCGTTCTTGTCTCCAGCACATCAAGCCGACATTTGACTTGATTTGCATCAAAGCCACAAATCATTCCTAAACGTCTCCCAGCTCGAGCAGATTTTTACCCTCCTTCCTGTCCAGATCGTCGAGGCGTTAGCTACAAGCAGCTACTCTGAAGGCAGCGAGTCGACTTTACCCAGCTTTGAACTGGGCTGGAAAGTGTCACGGTGAGGGGCCTTTGTTGGTCTCCTCATGTGTTCGCCCTCAAAATAGAGCCGATTGTTATAATAGCTTGTGTCAGCCTCCTTTAAAAGGGATCAGGATCACAGCCTCCACCCCGGGCCAATGGAAGGACTGGGGAGAGAATAGAAACAGCATGTGATGACACAAACCATCACTACACAAAAACTGCATCCAGTAGCTTTAACTTTTTCTTCTGCACAATCAGAAAGAATGCAGAGTCTTCCTCATCCTGGTCTTCATTAAAATCCTAATCAAGTTCACATCTGACAAAACTCCTGCAGGAGAGAGACAATGAGTCCCGATGTGATGATGCACAACAAATAATGTCCTGATGCCTGCTCAGAAATTCAACACAATCCACAACAAATAATGTTACAGACTGTGATGTTTATAAAATGTGTCTAATTAAATAGAGAGAGACATCTGATGTATGGTGTTTTTAATGAATATAGAGATCTTTGTGAAAAACACGAACACTTGAGTTATAAGTCATTCAAAATGAGTTCAGTGTTGGGAATCAGACGCCTGCTTGTCTTCCTGTTTGTCTTCCTGTGCAGAGCCTGGTCATGGATTTTAACCTGCTGACGGACAGCGAGGCCCGCAGCCCGGCGCTGTCGCTCTCTGACTCCGGGACCCCCCAGCACGAGCAGGGATGTAAGGGTCAGGACACCAGCGGTGAGTCAAAAATAAGCACCTAAACACACACACACGCACACGCACACACACACACACGCGCACGCACGCACGCACACACGCACACACACACACACACACACACGCACGCACACACACGCACACACACACGCCTCACCATCTCTATAGATTAACACTGCTGGATTAAAAAATACAGTTTCATTTATAATCCAAGGTCCATCCATCATCTTTACCTGCTTCTTTATTTTCGGGTCGCGGGGGTCACTGGTGCTCATGTCCAGCTATCACAGTGCGAGAGGCGAGGGACACCCTGGACAGGTCTCCAGTCCATCGCAGAGACACATAGAGACAAACAACCATTCACTTTCTCTCTCACCTAGAGACAGTTTAGAGTTACCAATCAGCCTAACATGCATGTTTTTGGTCTGTGGGAGGAAACTGGAGTACCTGGAGAAAACCCGTGACTGCACAGAGAGAACATGCAAATTCCACTCAGAATGGTCCCCGGCCGGGATTTGATCTGGCAACCTTCTCGGTGAGAGGCAGCAGCTCTATCAGCTGCGCCACCGTGCCACCCAGGAAGAGAAATCATTTCTGATAAATATATAATATTTGTACACATAGAGAAAAACTGAAAAACAATTAGAACATTTTCTGAGGAAATTTTACAGAATGCTGCTGATATATACTGTAGTTTGACTAATATATAACCTGAAGAGTTTAAATACAATCACAGCTTAAATTTTATCAATTTGGAAGAAAAAAAAATCCTCCAAATGATTATTTTACAGTATGACTAATATAGTTTGTGAAACTATCCAATAATTCTCAGTCAGGTCATCTGGATAGTTTCTTTTTTGTAGAGACGTTTCGCCCTCTATCCAGAGGGCTTCATCAGTCTGAGGAGTCCCAAGTTGCCCTGATTGAGCATTATTAGATTTGGTACCTGGATGATTGAGTATGAACTTTGATGCTTTGTTAAACTATATTATTTTAACAAACTACATTAGTTCAACAAATGATATTATTTTTATTCTATAAAGCCAAACCAGAACTTAGAATCTATGTTGTAATAATTTACGCTGCCATATGTATAAACTACTGTATATAAGAATTATAAAGAGAACCAAGATCCAAAGTAATGATAAAGCTGCTGCCATTGCACCATGGCAACCACACACCCTGTCAGTCACTCCCTGACAGCCCTCTTGAATAACACATGGAACACGTGCTGGAATGTAAAGCACCGAAGGAATGGAGAAACGTTCACTTTCTGAAGGTGGCAAGAATAAGAACAAAGTTTGTTCTGTCCACGACGTTTCATTTTTCACGAGCACCTCGAGAGCAGACGTCCTGATAGCAAGAACGTCAACATTTCCTCTTGTCCACATCAACTGCTTCCACCTCAGATTGTTGCCCACTCAACACATTCTGCACAGGTGATGTCCAGAACAAGCGTCAAGAACTCTCAAACAAGGCTGCGAGTAAAACAGACGACGTCGTTTTCTTCTTTGGAGAACAAATGTCTTCATTTTGTGAAACTTTGTGAAAAATCACTGTGAGAAAATTAAAAAAGTCCTGAACTGTAACAAACATCTGATTGCTACATCAATGTGTATGTTGTGTTTTTGTAGAAGATACGACAAGTTAAAAAGAACCATAACTTTTTTTAATTTAAAGAGAACATTCAGGAACTGTGGAAGCCAGTGAGAGTTTAGGATTGAGAGGAATTTAAAATTAAAGGACGGTGACAAGACACACTGACAAGAAGACAAACATCTTACATTTAAACTATTTAAAAAATACAAGTAAATAGGAAGAGTTTGACAGCTAAGGGTGACATCATCATACTGGAAGTTAATCATTTGGAGGAAATTTTTCAAAAATCATAAAAATTTAGACTGTGATTGTATTTAAACTCTTAAAGGTTATCAACATATTTATTTGGTGTGTTTGTGTAATTCTTTTGTCTACATTGTCTGATGTACTGCACCCAGAAGTCCCAGCACAACGCTCTGTTTGTTTTCTTGTATTCATGAGTTTTACCAAAGGGAAGAGATGAAAATCAAAAATCTTGACTGAGACAGAAGAATAATTGTTGTATTTAGTTTAGAAACAACTTTCAGTGGCATTAAATGTGCATTTATAGCAAACAAAATTAATACTAAAATACAAAAAAGGATTTTAATAAATAATAATTAAGAGATGTGTCTCCTCCTGAGGCCTGAGGGCCAAAAGGCTCCAGTGTAATCCTCCTCTGTCGGACTTTGAATATGGAAATGCAGGTTTTCTCTCCAGAGGCTCAGAATGCATTAAGACCAATAAAATCCTCCGTTTGGATCCATCAAGAATCTCATTTCAACCCATCTGCCTTAAGGACAAATTACAACATGATGTGTTTCTTTCATCAGGCACACCTGCAGGCTGAATGCCTCATATTTCCACGTTTTGACCCTGAATCATGTGTTGTATATCCGCAGCCCCCCCCCCCCCCATCACTGCCACTAGGACAGTGTGTGTTTACGTGTGTGTAACCCAATCTAATTGCTAAACTGTCAAACACAAACTATTTTGAGGAGACGTGGTGTAAAAATGCTTTCATGTCTTTTAAAAGGAAATGAAAACTCATTCAGTGAATCCCTGTTTGACCAAACACCTTTATTTTGTGGAAATTTATTGTTCTTTTTACATTAGAATATTTAGCTAGTTGTTATTTAGTTATTAACTAATAAAGAATAAATCATTTCATTGCAAACTGATTTTTGAAAATAAAACGGTGACATACAAATAGTTTTGCGCAACGTAAAGTTTTTACAAGATAATTTTGGGATTTTGTGAACCAAACATATAAAGTTGGCTGCTTTCTTTAATGGGAAACATTGTTGTTTCTGCCATTAAATTTGTATTTTTTTAAATATTTTTTTTGCAATTAAAATCATATTTGAATTAGTTCTTTGAAGCAATGTTGAAGGTTCCAGCAAATAGCCACATCCCACCACCTGCTGCAGAGACAGTAGGTGAACAACAAATGTCTCTTATGACGTTTTTTTCTCTCTCTCTGTGACAAACAAGGGGAAGCACTTGTCGGTTTATGCCTGCTGGGCTTTTCTTCTGTTTAATCATCATTACAATCAGATTTCTGTCTTTTACTTTTCTTTACAATGACAAAAAATGATGAGCTTAAATGTGGGCTCAGCTCTTCAGATCCACACCTAACCACATGGAGCCGACGCCTGGGCCTCAGGCAGCGAGCCACGACTGCATCACTCTCATAGAATGAAACGTAATGCAGCTGTTGTGATGCAGCTGTTGTGATGCAGCTGTCGACAACTCGTTCAAAAGTCCTGACATGGACGAGATACCGAACAAAGTCCAGATGGCAATTTAGCTTTTGTATTTGTGGTGCATCTTTATTTATTTGGTCAATATATTTAGATTATTTTTCTGCTCTCAGGTTGAAAAGTGATTTGTTTAAAAGCTTCTCTGCGAGGTTTTTCCAGATTAAAGCCCTCAGCGACACTGACCCGGAGCAGCTCTGTCATGTCGGCACATTATCAGTCAGATTGCTCCTATTGTTGCTTGGCGAGTTACTCTAAATAGGCCCGGTCTTTCCTCTGTATTGTGTTATAGACTTTGGCCTTAAGTGACAGCTTACCCAGTGTCAGTTTACTGCCAGATAACAGCCCCGGCCTGGCCCTTATTGGTTTTGCTGGTGGCCCTGCGGAGCCTCTTTTTAAACCCTGCTGATCATTTCGAACGGCTCCCAGAGAGCTAAGCCCTCACCAAACAGAGCCCAACCTGCCCCAGCCACAAAAGCCTGATCCACGGGATTAGCTGCCCAGCTAATTTCACTCCTTTCTGTGAGGTCTTCAAATTGCGGGAGTGGGATCTGGCAGAGAGGAGAGCCAGCAGACATAACACGGATGTGTGGTCCTTCAAACCGACTGCGCTGGGGGCAAAACAATCACTGAAGAGTTTTGCATGTAAGGCATTGTTTGCAGCCATCCTGCTGGTCCAACGTTACGTCTGCACTCGTCATTTTAGACCTGGAGGCGATGGAGGGATTTTACTTGGATCACATCAGATCCGGTTACATTTAGCTGGGATCAGGTTGGTTTATTAACATACATGTACTCAACCACACGAGGAGTGTCAGTTTGTTGGTGGTCAGGGCTTCTGAGGCAAATCAGTAATGATGCGTCCAAACATTTAAAATACTTGGTTCAGTTTTGAACATAATGTTTTTAACACAACAAACTTATATATTTTATGTAGCGCCAGATCACAACAAATAAATATTATACATAGAAAAGACAATTAGTAAAGTTATCTATCTAAACTTTATATGAAGGAAGTACAAGTACATACAAATACAGACTGGAACTGTTAAAGCCTTGGTATGGGAGGTCAATCCACAAATAAAATGAAGATTTTAGTATTTTTGTTTCCAAGTTTTGAGATTAAAGTTGAAGGGTTAAAAATAAAGTATTTTGAGCTTAAAACTGAGGAAGTAAATCCTGCTGTGCTCCTGAAGCTGACTGTATTTGTTCTGTTTTTCATTATTAGTGTAGTCGAGGATTAAACTTAAACTAGAAAACATTTTTTTCAACCACTTTGAGGTACAGTATAGTTTATCACCCCAATATCGTTAGAATTCACTTAATTTCCTTCAACCTTTCACAATAAAAGTCTCAAACTTAATTGCACATTTCCAAAGACTTTCAAATCATCAAGAACAAATATCTCTATTTGTATTTTGTTCTAGTAAAACTTACACTACAGCCTGAAATACTAGGAATAGGGAACCATTATTTACAGGTTAGAAATAACTCCAGACAGCAGTTACAGTATATGGACTAAAATAATATACTTTTTTTTTTTTACTATAAAGTCACTAGTTCATCTACACAAGGCACATGCTGGTTTTGGTAACTGTGGTGGTTTACATCCCAAAATAACAATTTTAGTTGCATAATTTCAACTTTATTTTGGAAATATTATTTTTGATCTTTTCCTTAACATTTAGATTTTAATCTTAGAACTTGGTAATAAACCAATGAAACATGTTTTCCTCCTTCTGGGTGGCCATAATTCACAGTTGTAACTCAAAGACTTTCATTTGGTGATAAAGTTTAACTTCCATACATCAAAAATAAAATAATATTGCACTGGACCAAACCAACAGCTCTTATAAAAATGTTCAACGACAACACAATATATTTTGCATATGCAAGAATTTGTCTGTTAAAATCCTTTAACTTCTGTAATGCATCGTCTGTGTGAGTTTATATTTTGAATTCATAAAACAAAAGGTAATGCTGTTCTTTGTGTTCTAATGATATTTGTCTTTAGTGTTTTAAATACCAGGTTTTCACTAAAGTTAGTATCTGAATTCTTCTCCCATAAATGTATCTATGTTTTTGTTGCACTTTGACAGTCAGCAGAATTACTTTGCAAATGCTCTATATACTATCATAAAACAATAAAGTCATAAAATTAAACTATATACTATAAGTTTAACAAAGTTAAGTCAGGTTCTCTGGACAAATTCTTCTTTGTTGAAACATTTAGACTTTTATCAAAAGTGGATACTGGTGGGCAGCACGGTGGAACAACTGGTATGCTGCCTCTCAGTGAGCAGGTCCCCGGTTCAAATCCTGGTCCGGGGGACTTTCTGGGTGGAGTTTGCATGTTCTCTCTGTGTGGGTTTCCTCCGGGTACTCCAGTTTCCTCCCACAGACCAAAAACATGCACGTTAGACTGATTGTTAACTCTAAATTGTCTCTAGGTGTGAGTGAGAGAGTGAATGGTTGTTTGTCTCTATGTATCCCTGTGATGGACAGGAGACCTGTCCAGGGTGTACCCCCGCCCCTCGCACAATGATTGCTGGACATGGGCACCGGTGACCACCATAACCCAAAATGGAAGAAATGGGTAAAAGATAATAGATGGATTGATGGATGGATACTGACAGACCTGACTTAACCTTGTCAGATTTATCTATCTGGATTATTGATCTTGCATCAGGACGTTATATACTCTATGGTTTATTTCCAGATTAAAAAAACAACAACGACTAACCAATGATGGAGGTGTTCTTGTCTAATTTTTCCAGTATGATACTGGTGATCATATGAGTCACCAAGGCAGATTATTTTATGAACTGATGTCAGAAATATAAAACCCAAACATATCTTCTGGTGCCATCCAGCAATCATTGTGCAGGGGACACCCTGGACAGGTCTCCAGTCCATCACAGGAACAGAGACAAACGAGACAAACTCACCTAGGGACAATTTAGAGTTATCAATCAGTCTAACATGCATGTTTTTGGTCTGTGAGAGGAAACTGGAGTACCTGGAGAAAACCCGACCATGCATGGAGAGAACATGCAAACTCCACCCAGAATGGCCCCATCAGACAGGATTTGTTCCGGCGACCTTCTGTCTGAGAGGTGGCAGCTCTACCAACTGCACCACCATGCTGCTCTTTAATCAAATAATAATGAATAAAATATAAATAAAGATTACCACAGAAGCGTTACCAGATGATTTTTTTTCCCTTCAAATTGTATTCATTGACCTTGGTTGAACTTTTCCTCCTGACTCTCTGCAGACACTGAGAAATCCCACCAGAACCAGCTGGACGAGTCCAGCGCTGAGGACGGCTCTCTGAAGAAGAAGCAGCGGAGGCAGAGGACACACTTCACCAGCCAGCAGCTTCAGGAGCTGGAGGCCACCTTCCAGAGGAACCGTTACCCAGATATGAGCACCCGGGAGGAGATTGCGGTGTGGACCAACCTCACAGAGGCTCGGGTCAGGGTGGGTACTTCAGCTCAACCACGAGGATGTTTCCAACACAGTTGTTGTAATCAGTGATCCATAAAAGTAAAACATTTAAAAAGTGAAGCCATTTTAAATATTAACATTGCAGTGATTCCCTAAAACTTCAATACACATCAACAGTAAAGCCCAATAGACTTTCTATCATCTGTTTAACTCAGAATTATGTTTTACTGTGAAGTACAACTTTTTCTTTAGTTTTTTTTTTTAAATTCCATCCAAGGCACACAATCTACTGCTTCCAACAGTCATAGAGCACTACGGTACTGTATTCCTAAGCAATCGGCTTAATGTAACTTAATGTTTTTGTACAAGTTTTTTCCCAAATTTTTTTAGGTACGATACAAAAAACAACAATTTTGATCATCCAGTCCAGTTTTATTAATACAGTTCTTTAAAACGCAAAGGAACAAAGCACTTCACAGTGCAATGCAGAAAAAACAACATACTTTTAAAGAATAAAAACAGAAATTATTCAAAAAAACCCCCATAAAAATTAACATTTAAAAAGCAGCAAAAACTAAAATTAAAAATGAATTTCAAGAGAAGACAAAAGCAGCCAAGGAACATGTCTGACTAATGCAATTATCTGACTACGGTAACTATTTCCACAAGTTTGACCACACCATCCTCTAATCCCACTCCCCTTACATCTAGTTTTTAGTAAAGTCAGGAGCAGCTCGGTTGACCTGATAGGTAGGTACATTAAAGCTGATTTATAGTCCATGAGAAGTCCCGGTCCCATGTCTCGTTGACCTGGGTGCATGACAAAAATTGTGTAGTTTTCTATTCTTACCTCTGACACCCCGTCTTGTGCATTGCCCCAGTCAGAACCACTTCTCAGAACTATGCAAGCATTGTGTGGTTGGTCAGAACTTGTATGTTTATTTATGTAAAGCACATGTGTCAAACTCAATGTTTTTCACACTGTCATGCTCTAATCCAAAGCCTTGCTTTCCAGACATGCCTCTCTGCACCTTTGCCTAATCAAGCTCATTCCGCTCACCTATTTCAAGCTCTATTTAAGTCTCAAGCTCACACTCATTCTCTGCCAGATTATCAAACCCATTGTGGTAGTAGATGTCCAGCGTTCTTGTCACAGCTCTCTCTGACCACCTTGTTTTGACCCCAAATCTGTATTTTGGATTGTCGACCTGCCTGCTCCTTGCCTGCAGTCCTGTCTGTGATTGTGAAGGTAAATAGAATGACAGCCACTAACCTTCTCATGCAAGTAAGATGAGCGCCACCTGAAGGAGCAGGGCAGGGTGACGTCACAATCACATAGAGGACTGCAGCTGAGGCTTAGGCTTGAGAGGGACGTGATCCAGAGGAAGATCCAGAGGTGAGAAACAGGCGTGACGTTGGGAATCATAAACAGGGTATCAGAGGTCCAAGAATAAATCCAAGAGTGAGATCTGTGAGGCGTAGTCGTAGGTTCAGAAGGGAAGGTCAGTACCGTGATAAGAAGGACGACAGAGTCAAAGGTAAGAAGCAGGCAGGTCGATAATCCAAAAGACAGGCATAGGGTCAAGACAAGATGATCAGAGAGAGCTGTGACAAGAACATTGAACATGCACTTCCACACTGCGTTTGATAATCTGGCAGAGAATGAGTGATAATCTGGCAGAGAATGAGTGTGAGTTTGAGGCTTAAATAGAGTTTGAACAGGCGAATGGAATGAGCTTGATTAGGCGGCGGTGACGAGGGGCGTGGCTGGAAAGCAAGGCTTGGGATTAGAGCATGACAGGGCAAAAAACATGACAGCTAGCATTACAACTATTCCAGTAAAAATGATAAAGTAAATAAACAAAACATACAAAGATGGTAAAAGAACTTGTAGAAGGAGATTGGACAATTATGAGCACTCAGGAGATAGCACAGAGAACCAGTGGCTCTCCATGGTGGTTCTGACCAAGAGAGAGTGTGCCTCGTCCGGGTAGCGTAGGGGCATGTTCCAATACTGTCCGTTGGAAATGGTGGTAATGGTGGTGGTATGGTAGTAATACGTTTGTGACAAATGTACAAAATACTGCCTGTCCTCAGTTAACGACAGCTCCTTCTCCAACTCCTCCATTATCAACAAAAAATAAACATCCACTCTGAAAACGGTGCTGTCTGCGTTGAGTCTGATAGCGTTTGACATGTGCTGCACTGGGAAAACTTAGGATTTCTCCCCCACTGTTCTTATTTGAATATAAAAGGTCAATGAGGAAAAAGACGGTCTATAACCATGTCAATGAGATCTGACATCGTACGTCTATTGAACTAGGCTTTAAGGGCATAGCAGCTCGGAAAGTTAAGGTGGGGCGAGACTATTGAAGAGATTCTAAAACAGATGTGATGTGATAAAATTTTCTTGTGCTAGTTAATAAAATGACAAACGACAAACAATAATAGTTGATCAAATCTGTTGGTGAGCAGTAATAAGTTTGCTTCGGTGCTTACTGACACCCGTAATAAACGCCTGCAGTAACATAGGACAGGGTGTGATGATAATAGAAAAAATATATATTGACAGTTTAGTCAGTCTAACACTTGACAATGAAATGTCCTTCTGACAGTGTTTTCCTGCAATCCTGTTTGAATATTATTCTGAGATAAACACTCAGTTGACCTCACTCAATTTTCTACAGAGCAAATGTGGCCCAAGAGCTTTGGAGAAAATCACTCTATTCAATTTTCAGAAGTAAATTAACTCAGAGACCATTGGCAGATCATGTGTTGGATGTAAGAACTTGGACAAACAGCACTGGTTTGTCCAATAAATAGGACTCAATGCTTCAACAAGAATCTGGGAGAATGCTCTACACCGCTCAGTCCTGTCAACTGAAGCATTTGTTCCAGGCTGGTTGTTCTCCCATAATGTTGTTAGCTGAGATTCTGTTGGATAAAATATCCTCTCTTACTGATCCTGATCTTACTTACTCAACAGAAGCTACACTTGATGATAGGAGATTTTTAACCAGTTTTACTTGCAAGGACAGCTTATCACAACAGGTTACACAGATGTACAAAAAGTATACATGCATGGAGCTAGAGTTGCATTCGGGCCCAAAAAAATCAGATCAGACCTGGCCCCAGCCCACAGCCATGATTTCTGAACCCCACCTGACCCGACAAATTAACAGTAAGTACAGGTCAGAACCCGGAATAAAACAACATTTTTATTAGTTATTAATGGCTGGGGACGCGCGTCTGAATAAAAGGGGCAGAAGATCGGAGCTGAGGGGGTGTTTGTCCTTTCCTGGTCATCAAACAGCATTTAAACCCTGTTTCTGCCTGCATTCTGCATTACTCAGACAGGGACCCTGCTCTGACATGTCTGCTTTGGGATCTGACCTGTTTGGGTCGTCAGTCGCATGCGTCCTCTGAGTGCAGCGGCTGTTGACTGGCAGTATCGTCCCATCTGAAGCTTAACTGAACTTTATTTTACCTCTTTCAAGGTCGGTCAGTTTGCGGTGAAATGGCCGCGTGCGGCTGGTGATGGTATGGCAGGCCATGTTACCATATAATTGTATCACAGCGGATTCGCAACCCGCCCATCCAGCACATTATCATGGCCTTGCCCGCCCCAAATTCAGGTCGGGTCAGGCTGGGCTTTGGGCCTGGGTTAGAAATGACAACTCTACATGGAGCCCAGTCACAAGAATCTGCCACAGGCAGTGTGTGAGGCTTGTTTTTATATGCTTATCAGCTCCAAGCTCACAGACAGACTCGGAGGCAACCTTGGACTGCTAGCTGCACCTGCAGTATCTCTCTGCTAACTCAAACACATGGTTCATGGGCAGTTAACTTTCTCAGCCATAGTAGTTTAAAACATCCATAAGACCTCATCTGAAGTTCCCCAACTGATTCTGAGTCCTTCAGGACACAATGAGCCTGCAAGAAGACATTTTGGCTTTCATCCAAACCGTGTCTTTGGTTCTAAAGAAGAACCAGTTTGCTTTTTATTCAACTCTTGTGTTATCTGTCCTTTCATACTATTTTCATCGGAAATGAAATTTCAACATTAAATCAAATGAAAACATCTCACAATAATTGTGTTCACCAATTGGTAAACGTTTGAAACATGTCATCTCATCCTAGGTCAGCCCTAAAGAGACCACAATCAGGTATGGTTCAGTCATGCTGATCAACCCAGTTCTTGATTCCAACAAGAAAATTATTTTTTTCTCCACAAGGGAGGAACTTTTTTCACTCTCCCAAAACCTGACTTCAGTTCCTGAACCTAAATGTGAAAGGGGCAGCTGAATGAGGCCAACAGTTTGGACTTTGTAGCTAAATGGAGCAGGAGGACACACATTCTGATGGATGACAATACAATCGCTGGCCGTCCTGACAAGTAATGGATCAAATTAATGTTGGCTGGATGAAAGGTCACATAGCACGCACCCTTGGTTGTTATTTTGAAGGGACGACAGCCCGCACACTGTCATGGCCCTGACGTTGGAGGGGCCCCTTCAAAAGCCGTGCATGCAGACAGTTTCTCACATGCTCCTGTCACCTCTCTGCTCGTTGTAATCATCAGAGATGCAGTCCTCAGGAACAAACTGATAATTAATCCAGCCTGAGGGGGATGGAGGTGGATTGTTTAAGGCTGTTGAAACAAATCTGTGATGTGCTTTGTTAAAATTATTTTTTTTACACAGCAACATACAGAAAAGTGCAAAAGTGCAGCTCTGATTTCTGCTGGTTCCAAATATTCAGACCTTTTTTTTTTTAAATCAGTTAAGTGGTCTTGATCAACAGGTCTTCAAACTTTCTGAAGGTCTGGAGTTTTCATTTGGATTGTGACTCCTTCGTCCTGACCACAACAACATGCTGTGTACTGTGGGCCTTAAATATGAGCACATGGGCAAGAGAAAAGCAAAAATATATCATCAACTGCTTGTCAAATGTTCAACAGATAATTCTTCGAAAATCACCTGTGTTGTGTTTGGTATTCTTTGCTTTATTACTTAAAAAAATAAAATAATAAT